TCATGCTCTATGTCACATAGTATATCAATCACATTAACATAATTTATTTACATGTCATATTCATCTAAGTGCCAAACAACGCATTGTATCATTTAGGTGCCAAACATACGCACACATTATCAAGGCCTCAAAATAAGCCAATGTCCATATCCATAAATTTCAAATTAGCCTATCATTTGATTTGGTTTCCCATACATGTTTAACATTGAAAATCGGAGATGTTACACTATGGATGCAAAAAGACAATGGAAGAAAAGTGAAAAGATAGAAAGGGAGGGAGGATCAATATTCATGTTTCAGTATCTAATTGGACCAAACGTAAGGACTCAAAGGTAGTGTTACAAACACCCTTCTCTCTACTGTTTGTTATGCATTCATTCTTTTTCTTTCTCACATCTGCTAATCCAGGAACAATATTTTGCTTCCACATCAGAAGAGATAACCTGAACGCCATCACCTTCTGAGAGTGAATCACTTTCATTCAGCTGTCAGTCACATATTTCACACACATAGGCTGATCCTTGAACCGCTCTAGTTCTTGTGGTAAATAGTAAATGATATAACAATGCAGGACTCAACTTTTGCCCCGTTCTTCTTCCAACAGTAATGAAACAAATATCACATCCATATTCAAGTAAAGCAAGAACCTTTCCAGCTTGGGAAAGATAACAAGAATTGAAAAAAAAAATGACAGTGCTTTAGGTGATGATTAGAGAAAGATTAAATGATGGTGTATGACTTGAATTTTTACCTTTGTTGCCCAAATGGTCTGGCCGATATCACACCTATATGCTAAAAGAACGAAATGATGGAAACGCAAGTTGATCATATTTAAGTTCGTAAAGTGAGGCCCTACCTCAAGCTAGCAGAAATCTATAAAATTGAACCTAACTTACTCTCAAAAATTAAATAGGAAACAGTTTGAGTTACTGAAAAGGATGACATATAACTTTAAGATTGGCTCCTAAACTTGGTCCATCCCATCTGAGCAATTATGTTATTAGATGTACTCCGAAACCAAATGCCCCATAACAAATGTCAATTACTACTAACACTACAAAGCATTAAAGGGAATAAAAATTGTCATCAAGCCATTAAACTTATGATGAAGATCAAGGGTCTCCGGGAATGTAAACAGGGGATCATATAATCAGGATAAAATCTATGGCTACCACATGGAAATGTGCAGGCCATTAGGAAAAGCATATGTTAGAAATCTTACTTGTGGAGTCAGAACCTCGAGTTTGAATTAAACCTGCAAACTTTCTAAGAGCTGGCCACATCTTGCAGCATGTTATTTCTGAGTAGCTCAAATCCCAAAGGCTATTGCAATTTAAAGACATTCAATGAATTAGAAAGATTCTAATGAATAGAACCAAAAAAATAGTAAAATTTGGTCTGTTCTTTTATTGTGTACGGCCTTTGTTTATTGTTTTAAGCCTTGGGATAGGAGGTGAAGAGTTCCAAGCTCAGGAAATTAAAACTTATCTCCATTATACCTCCTACTAGCATCTTGCAAAATTCCCAACAAAACTACTACCTATGCATCTATATTAGTTTGTCTCCTTTCATTTCCCACTCCAAATGTGTAAAGAAACAAATTATAAAACAACTTAAACAGAAATTATCAAGTTATATAGAGTAATAGAACATATGTTTTCAACCCAGATTTGAAGATGAATTATATTTCAGATAAGTATATTTCAAATGCTGGATTATCATGTTAACATAAGTATCAACTAGCTATGTCACTATGCAGGCTGTGAAAGGGGGAAAAAGACAAAAAAAAAAAACAAAAAACGATAATATTCATATTTCAGAATACAATCGGACTAAACGTAAAGAATCGAAAGTAGTTTCCAAACACCACTCCCTCTGCCTTTTGCTAAGTGGTCTCCCTTTCCCTGCTTTTTCTCTATTTATTCTCACATCTGCCAAACCCCAGGTGCAACATTTTGTTTCCATGTCAAACGTGACAAGTCTGAAAACACCATCACCTTCTGAGAGTGAACCACTTTCAGCTACAGTCACATATTTCACATACATAGGGCGATCCTTGAACCGGTCTAGATCTTGTGGTATCCGAACTACTCTTTCAACACCAGGAGACGACACCTGCAAGCAACAAACATTTTTAGATCCAAAAGCTAAAAAGATTTTAATTCTGATATGTAAAACAGAATACAAATTTCAGCTTTATGGCATTAGTCACCCACAGATTGTGGCAGATCTACTCACTGCAGCTCCTAAGACTAGGGTACATGTCCAGTGCAACATCTAGTGTAATTAACCTAAGGCTAAAAGCCTGCTTCATCATTAGATAGAACCTTTAAGTAGGTTTGCCCATTCAGAAAGGCACGTCTCTTTGACTACAATCATGTGAACAAATAACAGAAAACAGATAAACAGAGATTAGAAAACATCATTACCTCCAATGTTATATTCTCAGGTACAGATCTAGCAAGCTCAGCTTCATCCAACCTTGCTCTATAGCTTGCAGAAAAAGCTTCAAGATCTTCCATACTGGGGGAACCAGACCTTTTACAGATCATTACAAATTAGAGTCACAGAGGCATTCTTTTTTCTTTGGCAGATAGTTTACCATTTTTGGAAGAAAATGAACCATAGCAAAGAGCTGACCATAAACAATTAAGTCATACAAAAGATAGGAAAAGATAATCGTGATAAAGTGACTTCATGATTATCAGATTTTTTAACAATGACTGACTTACAGTCCAGAAAAGACTTTGAAGCTACACTTCTAAAGAATAGCCCATCACAAAGTCTTTGACCTCACATGCTAGCACCACTCTTTGCATGCTAAGGGGAAGAGACCACCCAATGAAAGCTATCTAGTATTCAGATGCTATTTTCAACTATACGTTGCTAGTAAACTTTTAGGATGGCATACAGGAAAATAAGACATTTCATTCAGAGGAAAGCAGGAAACAAATATAACAGCTGTTATAACTGAAAGTTCCATCAATATGGAAATGTTCTTAGTTGAAGCAGAAGTGCTCATTCAACCTCAAGTCTTACATTGACGAATAAAGTATAGCTTCCACTTTCAAAGAGATGATGTTAATTTAAAATGGGAAATGTACAAGAATATCCCATTAAATTTATGCGTATCCATTCAATATCAAACCTATGATATCCAATTCGTTGATTTGTGCAAAAGAAAGCAATTAAAAATGAGGTGCAATTGTATTTTAAGAAAATATCATCCGCATTATTAATTGAGAATGGAGATTTTACCAGCATTTCTCATTAAAAAAAAAGTGTAAATGAATGCTTACTTATTTGTAAGTCTTTCAATGCGGACTTGAATGGAGGAATTTGACAGTGTTTTGAAGGCATGTATCCCCAAATCATCATTGAAGGATAGACATACATCCTGAGCTAATGCTAACGCTTCTTTATTCCACCATGTTCCAGCAAGAGAAATGCCTCCTCCTCCTGCGCCATCCCCAACCTTCACAAAATATATACTTACAATTTTAGTAAATTGTGTCAGCTTTGCCCAACGAATACATGAATGTTGCCCACAACTCTTGCAGGAAAACTTACACAAAGTTCAGTTTCATTTTCTAGGTACTCTTCTTCAAAATAATCATCATCATTGTCTATCATCGATTCATCTATACAGTCAAGAAATCAATTTATTCATTAGAAATACAGTCAAGAAACGAGAAATATTTTTAAATTGTAAAGAAGGAAATAGGTGAATGTTAGTTCATTGAAACTTTTAGAAAATAGTAAAACAAGGAGTATAATCAAGGTAACTCAAGTCTAGACAATATAAAGCTCCTTCTCCAGATTGAGCATAACTCGATGCAGAAAAACTTGACTCAAGCTTGACAGAGTCTTAATTTTCAAACTCGAGCTCAACTCAAGAAAGAAAGCGAGCAGCTTGAGTGTCAACTCAATTAAGCTCGATTACTTTAAATATATCAGTGACTGTATTTACTTATAATATATATTCATACAAAGCATTTTTAAATACCTTTTAAAGATTAAAAAGCAAAGACCAAAAACCTTGAATAGGCTTGAGCAGCTCGCATGAAGCTAAAATAAAATTTGAAAACACACACACACACACACACACAGGGCAAATGGGCATACACTATTCATAAAGTTACCATCTTCGGAGTCATCAAAAAGAATCTGCCCTTCTTCCTCTTCTTCGTCGTCCATAGAAACTTCTTCAACAATGGTTGGTTTCAAAAGTGGCTCGGACTTGGAGTTCTTCTTCGTGGCGTGGATTGCAATTGAAGAAGGCGACTTGTTAGAGATTCTAGCAAAAGGGTATGTCCAAAACGGGAACATAAACTTGTGAGCTGAGCCTGGTGGCTTGTAAAAGCTACAACTACAGGTTATGGCGGTGGGTGAGGGCAGTTGAGCTGATATTGGGACTGCAGAGTGTTTAAAATTCCAAGCTGAAACTAACAAATCCATTCTTTACGTTTATGAAGAGTTTTTCGATATTGTTAAGTTTTTGGTGCTCCCAAAAAGTGAACTGTCAAAGCAATATCGAGAGAAAACAGAAGGAAGAAAGGAAGCTCGAACACCACAACCAACATGGAGAGAGTTTCACAGTGTGCTTCTCAAAACGGTGTCGGTTACTGATGGGCCTCAGCGGGCTCCTGCTGGGCGCAACCGGGTCTGACAAATCTGAAACTAACACCCAGCGCATTCCGACCAACCCACATAGTTATATTTCTGTTATTAACAATGTGATCCTGAAAATATTTTTATATTCGTTTAATAAAATAATAAATTTGCTGTAGATGAATGAAATTTTCGGTTAACTAAAAAAAAGAAAAGGAAAGACAGTATTGATAAATTGATGATTGACTTTTGTTAATGATGGCAATGCTGGTTTGGATGGATGATAAGAGCTTTTTTCTATAAAAAATAAAAAAGAAAAAAATTATTGCGAAGCAGGCATGGATTGCTTTTGCAATAATATACATGGGGAGGAACTCCAGTAAAAAATCCATACAAAAGTAATGAAATAGCTATGCATTTGACAAAAGTTATTGAATATTGAAACAAGTTCAAAACTGACATATATTTTCCAAAAACCATTGGATGGAACTCAATGTATGCTTTGTTTTTTCAGTTGTTGACTATGTGATCTGCACAGAAAATATGTTGAAAAGAAGAAGAAGAAGATCATAGCGAAGAGAGAGATGCCTTCTTGGTGGCAGGGGGTGATGGGGTAGCAGTTGCATTATCTGTCCAATTCTTTTCACCCCAATGCCACAGCATACTTTCCCAGAAGCAGAATTCTTCAAAGCATGTCTTTAAACGCTTGTCTTTTATCTTGATTTTCCAATGACCATCCGTGTAATCCCTTTCTCAGCTTGCCTCCTATCCCACTCTAGTTGTGCCTTCTGCTTGGACCTAAGTAAACAGTACTTCTGTAAATTTTCTGGCATGGCGTCGTGTACCTTCCACCATGTTTTGTGAGCAACATCACTGGCAAACTCCTGCAGAATGTCCACATTCCAGTTGCAATCATAGTCCCGGAAGCATAGCCATGGTTTGTTGCCCAGATAATGGAGCACATAAAGAATTGGAGGATTGGCTCCAAAAAGGCGAGTCTTCATCTCTTTCTTCTCCTCCTCATCACCTTCCCAGAAGTGCTTCAAGAAGTTCATGTGTTTTGGAATCCGATGCCACCAAGTGAAGATTTCATTCAGATACCCCTGGTCCCCACCATTGTAGGATTCAATCTCATTGATGTGATCCATTAGTAGCTGGAATGTACAATTTGATGGCTCAACAACCATCACACCTGAGTTGAAGAGAGTAGCATTATTTCCTATAGCAGATATCTCAGGCATCTCAAATAAGAAATCAATATTCCTAAGTATAAGAAGGTCGGCATCAATGAAAATGATCTTGTCATAATCAGTCAACTGCCAAAGACGGAACTTGCTGTAATTCCATTCATTATATGCTTCTGGTTCAGCTTTTGGATTCCTGATTCTTTGGATTGTATAAATTTTCCACCCAGCGGCCTCCAAGCCACCTCTATGATAATCACTGATTGAGTCATCAAGAAGTATCACAAGGTCCCTTGTTGAACCTGACATGCGGATGCTCTGCGCAGCAGTAATGGCCCCACAAACATATACATGAGCAGAGTGTAGGATTGTTGCATATGCTTCACGGTGTGCTCTCTCTGAATGGAAATACTCTGTTCAAATTTATTCAGTTAGTTTAAGCCTTTCAGATTTCAGAAACTATCTAAACAAAGTAATTTGGAACCCTTTAAGAGGTGTGAGCCTTCAACTCATCATTTCCAAGATGGAAGATTTCCAGGTCAGGAGAAGAAAAAAACAGTAAAATGTAGAAAAGGTTAAAAGGAGGGGAAAAAGCAGCAACAATTATAATTTCTATAGAACCACTCTAGCTCACAAGGCTTATAGAGATCCAAAAAGATGATTTAGGTCAGTGATTTAGGATGTCACAGACTCAATTTTGCCAATACTGAATCAATTTCGCTGACTAAACCTATAATCTTGCCTCATCATTATAGCTATTCATCCACGTTTCCTCAGCAGGACTTCTTATCCCAGTGAAAAGATTTTAAATATGTAAAAAGTTAATAGTGACAGAAAATCTTGAAGCAGCCAGCTTCAGTTATACTGAAAAGAAGAATTTGTATGAACAAATACCTTGAAGAAACTAGTTTGAAACCAACCTTTAGCCTGGAGAGGAACTGAAAGCTCACATGACCCTACTGGCAGTCGAATCTTTTCTCTTAACCTGTGCAGGTTGGGAGTATACAGCCAAACATTCCCTTCGCATGCAACAAGGTCCTTGCAAGTAAAAAGATTTGGGATAGGGAAGCAGTCAGTCACAAAAAGCACATGCACTGGGTGAAACCCCTTAGCAGATGCAGCAAGCCTTGCAGCCGCTAGCTGAAAGTGTAGACGTGCAACATCCCTTGACCACTTTCCTGACTTGTTGCAAGGAAGCTTGACAGCAATAAGATCAATCCGTGGTTTGCCAGGAATCTGAAGACTGGGTAGAGAAGGACAATTGGGAACCTCAAATTCTTCTTCTTCATCTATCCATTCAGGGTATAGGGATTCCCAAGTTACATTGACTGCCACAGAGTCCAATTGTAGAACAACATGCTCAGCATCTGGTAACAGCTGCTTCCATTGATCAGTTTCACTATTATTGAAGTTCAACAAGCCAATTCCCTGATATTCATCCCTGTCAGTCAGATTCTCAATAACACTCGAGATTTGGTCCCAATTTACATCCAACATTGATATATAGCGCGGATCTGCAGCAGCACTGTCTCTTATCCATCTGTCTACAAAACTAGGCCTGCATGTAATGAAGTTCAACTTCAAAAAACTGAAACACAAAACAGAAACAAGAGCAATCTTAAACATATGTACTAGCAAAAATGGCTGCTCGAGACCTTTCAGTACAGGAAATTCAAGGTGATCAACTTAAAAGCAGAAATATTGAGTTGTTACCCATGCTAGCTGGATAGCTGGTTAGATACAGGCAGAAAAATGTACTCACTTGCATGCACTGACAAATGCACAAACACATGCTCAAACACAAAAATGGCTTATTTTCAATCAGAAAACAAGTAAAGTACAAAAGAGCAAACTATAGCCTGAATATAACATTTTACAGAAAGGTATGCAGGCGGTAGACTATACCGAGATACAAAATTGGATGGGCGATCTGAAACATAAACTGCAGGGGAGCGGAAGAGTGTGAAGAGAGTTCCCAACAGAATTATAACCAGCACAGCTTTCAAGGTAGATATCTTGAAATTCCAATTCCTGTATTTAATGGGAACATGGAGGGCCTTCTCTACATCTTTAAAAACCTTATTTCTTTGGAACCCTCTTCTGCTTGTGTCTTCACTGTAAAAATACATTTAAAAGTCGAATCAGTCCGTGTGCATAAAGCAAATAAAAGACAGACAAAAGTCAAATCCTGAAAAGCAAAAGGTTCTTCATACTGAAAGCAGTTTGAATAGAAAACTGAATGTTTATCCTTTAGTTCACAGTGTAATGATAAAATCCATAAGCAAATCTAATGTCAGTGTAGAGACAAAAATGAAGTATTTAAAACCTGATTTGCCAGGTAACTTTGAATAATGCAAGCAATATTCAAAAAAATTTCAAGGCGTTAACAAAACTAGTATTCGCATAATACAAGTACTAGTCATGATGCCACCCTTGGCTTCCACAATTTCACAACATATTCCAAGTTGAGATGTCATTTCTAGCTTTCATTCCATAAATTTTATGCCAATCCTCAATTGATCCAAATTTTAATGTACTTCAGTTATTCAAGAATCAATTAAAACATGATGAAGAGTCCTAAGTTTTATCAGAGAAGAAGTCAAATCCCAGAAAATATGTTCAGAAAACCATAATTTACACTAAAAATATATTTCACAGAAATTTTTCATTCCCGTGCAGACGACTTTATAAACAATGAGACTAATTCACATAAATAAAAGTAACACCAGCCAAAATTAAGACTGAAAAGCAGAGTTAATGTAAACAGTTGAAAGCTTAAGCAGTTAATGTTAGAGAGGACCACCTAGGCCTAGCTCAATTTACTTCATATTTGATCTTTTCCAACAGCTAACAACGCCAAAGGAAAGCGCATAAATACCTACCGTAGTAGGAAATTTTCTTCAAATAATTACAAGTTAACTAGAGCAATTAATACGACGCAAATCGAAGGCAACAAAAAAGTACACAAACAAATCATAGCCAAATTCAAGCAGATCTCATCGCTGCATTTTCTCGTCAAACAAACAACGGTGCTTAAAAGCTCGATCAACTAGCTAACTATGGTCAACTTTTTACTAAAAAATTTCAGGTTCTCAAATGAAAGCAGCAACTAGAAACTTGGAAGATGAAATGAGAAAAAGGAAGAAAGAGAGAGGAACCGACGCGGAAGCAGAAACGCGGTGACGAGGCTCTTTGGGACTGAGGGAGGGGCCTCTCATCTTTAGAAATCTTCAGAGAGCAGCTCAAACTGAAAATACCATTTGTTTATGCTTTGAGGTTTCCAAGACTGTACTCAATTTATGATTTGTTTTATAAGTTTTAAAAAATAGAGAATGAGGGAGAGCTGGCTTTGCTGTCTGATCCAAGGCTGCGAAGACTCAAGAGAGGAAGTGGCAGTTATTAGTGTCAGAACTCAGGAGGTGAAACATTTGGAATTTTTTTTATTTTTTATTTTTAATTTTCCGATGATGAGTGATGATAGCTGGCTTTTTGCCTAGGTCAATTTAAGACAAATTTAACCAAATATATATATATATATATAAAGAAAAAGAAAAAGAGAATTAGACAATTAGGAATGCTATTTTTTTCCATTTATTTTCTTTTTGAGCCTTCTCAATCTTTTCTTTTCTTTTTTTCTTTTTTTTTTGTAAAATAAATGTTGCAAGGTATGAATTAGGAAAGGATTCTTTTCACCTTACTTGACAAAAGATGCTCTCCCAATAAGGATTGTTAAAAGTCAATGAAACAAAAAAGAAAATTAGGGAAGGGTGGTTGAGGAGTCAAGTGCATGTTCATAACAAGTTTAGAAATAGCAAATCAAGATGAAAACTCAATTATCTAATAATAACAAAAGCCAGCTCTAGGCTTTGATTTGAGAATCGTATTATTTTTATGTTGGTAGTTAGAGAGAATTGGTCCTCCTCTCATTATTATTGCTCTAGTTTTTGTGCTGTAATGCAATAGCCACGTCGCCAACCATGTTGGCTACCTACAATTATTTGCCCTCGAAACACACAAATATCAAAGGCAGCATAGCAACCGCTAAGTCAACACCACCTACTCTCTTCGGTTATGATTCTCACGAGAAACCAAATTTTGGTTTTTTCTGGCTACAAACTCTTTTCTTATAAAACTTGATAATTGAGAGGAAATGTGGATATTTGGCGCCATATTTAAACAGCTTTTCTATTATAAATTTTAAATTATAAAAAAAGACTATATTATGGTGTAAAGCTTTAAAAAATTCATATTATATTCACTCAAAATTTTATATTTTTATTTTTGATTAAATAAACTTTTGCAATGATTAAATAAAGCATCACTTGAAATTTTTATATGTACGTGACATTAATTTGGATAAAAATATTATACAATTATATCATTATACTATATCACTATCCACTATAACTTATCAAAATGTCACGTAAACGTCATGTGATATAAAAATGATAAATTATTTTTTAACTAACGATAATTAATCAACAATTAATTATAAAAACCAATTTAATCCACAACAAAAGTATAGATATTTTATTCAATATAATAAAATAATAAAAAATTTATGTAAATTTTCTTGAATACTTAAACTTTTTTTAAGATTATGTGTTATATTATCCCTATTTATCTCTATTTTTCATGAGTCAATTAAGAATTTGCTATCTTTTTTTTTTCTTTGGTATAAAGGAGCAAGTTCACCTAATTTAACTAACTAATCTTCGAAACAAATGTTAATAATATTAATCAACAAAGTAGTTTTCACTTTATGAATGAAATGAGATAATTGCTATTGATTAGCAAGAGAAGTCAATCAATTTGCGCATCTTAGTCTATTAACATATTATATTATATTATATTTATTTCAATGTTACAAGTAAATTCGTTATTTGATTTATAGTTATCAAAACAATTTTTTTTATTTCATTTATTCTTTTCGTTTTAAGACTTATTAGACTATGACCGTGCGTTACACACGAGCCTCTTTCTATCTGTTTTTTTCTTTCTCTTTCTACCTCTCTTTTTCATTCCTTTTTCTCTTTTACCTGTGCCCTCCACCTGACTAGAGGAAGAAGCTCCTTTGGGATTTTTTTATAAATATGTTATAGATAAAAGGGAGTTGGAGAAGTTTAAATGTTTTATGTTAAATAAAAAGTATTTTTGTAAATAAATTTACAAAATCGTTTTCAATAACAAAAATATTTTGATATAATTTATAATTGTACTAGAATTTACAAAAAATACTATGAAACAAGTACTTATAATTTATCATATCTTCCAACAGATTTATAAAAATCATTTTGGTTTCCTTTTACGGCAATTTTTTGAATGATTTTACAAAAATAATAATGCTTAAGTTCTTACATCTGAATATTTAATTTATTTATTAATATATAATTTTTTTATTTAAATAAAAAAAATTCAAATTTTCCTTCCCCAAATAAAAAAAAATCACCTGAGTTCCTATAAAAACTTCAACGGGCCCAAAAGGTGAATTTATGCTTAAATATTTTATACATCATCATAATACATTATACATGTCAGATTTATGGGCGAAATAAAAGCTTTTAATAAAAAGATAATTTAAGGTTAACACTACCCTCACGGTTGAAACTGGCAAAATCCGTCTGGATGGGCCCAAAATGAGTTGGGCCTTCCGGATAGATGTATCTTTTGAAAATTATTAATCAATCGATGCAAAAAAGAAAACAAAGGAAAAAGTACGGCAAACGCTGCGTTTGGGTCTGTCTTCTCTACTTGCATTTTCAGATTTCTAAAAATATTATTTCCCTCTACGCCTACGCAGATCTGAATCTTCTTTTTCTCCAGAAATTAAAAAAAAAAAAGAAAAACGAAACAAACCGCTCCAACTTCGCGGGAACATCACAGCCGTCGATCTTAGGGGTCTAGTATAGAGAATAATCGAAGATGGTGCTCGTATCGGCCGTACGGGATTATGTCAATCGGATGTTGCAGGACATCTCCGGCATGAAAGTCCTCATTCTCGATTCTCAGACGGTAATTTAATTTTTCTTCTTTTTAATTCGTATTTGCTTTAATTTCATCTGAATTAATTTTAACAATTTATTACTTTAATTTAATGATTTCATTTTTATCATTAATTTCAAATATCTGGTCAGTTTAATTTGGAAATGGAGTAGTGAGGAAAACTGTTGTGATCTGAGGGTAGAAATCAGGACATTTGAGATAATTAGGAACTGAAGTGAGCATTTTCAATTTAGTACAAACAGATTTGGCATTTAATTGGCATTTAGGCCTCGAGTTTTTGCTGCTAGTTAATTTGGCGGCCGAGTTTATTGTTGTAGTTTTTTGGTTCGGCTTTGTCTTGAATGGATCGTTTCTTATCCTTGATTCTGCGAAGGATCAGTTGTTGTGGCTTGTTGTAGATTTTTGATGAGCAGTTAACTATTTGTTATTGGTGGATGAAGCTTAACGCAGTTTTGTGAGGGTTTTTTGCATGATTTTTGTCGATTTGGGTGGTCCAGATATAAGTATATATAGCCTTACTTAATGTAGCCATAAACCGTTTGAGCTGGAAGTTTGATCATTGTGTTGAATGAAGTAGTTGGCGAGGGAGCTCCTTTCCATCCTCTATAGCCAACCTCTATGATTCATGTAAATTTGGAAGCAGGCATGGTTTCTATAATGGTGCATATTGTTTTATAATGCTTGTCAAATTTCTTTGTTTCTTGATTTTGCGACTGCAATTTGTATGGGATTATGTCAAATTGATGGTAGAGAACTGCTTAAGGAGAAAGCCAGACTTCTGTTTGTGTTTGAAGTGCTGGATGTAGTTAACAGTATGTCTAAGAACTTGGAGCGGTGTGGAGGGGGAGGAGAAGAAAGGGAGGGGGATTCTATAGTTCCCATTATTTTATTGTCAATAAAATAAAATAAAATAAAGAAAAGGGAAGGGAAAGGAAGGTGTAAGGGGAGGGCCGCTCCTTCCTTTCCTTCAGTCCAAACAAAACCTAAATGCATCTGTTCCAAGATTATGACAGCAAGGAACAAGCCTAGCTAGAGTATTGTGGAATTAGGTAGAGAAATGACCTCCTTACCTGAAATGGAAATCTGGATATGTGTTGTGTACTTTAGTAATTCTTCTAGTCCTAGCTGCACTTTCTGAAAATCCTACAATAGAGTCGCTGAGGCCATGTACCACTCCTATCTGCGTGAGTTGCCAACCAAACACATTGGTATAAGGTTTATATTGGAGGAATTAATAGTCATGTTCGCATCACAAATTTTCGATAACTTCAACTTCATGAGAATTGAAGATTTGACTTTGCATTGTTGTTGCTAGTTTATGGGGTTTCTTAATGGATCAACATAAATTAATAAATGAGTCATTTAAAAAGAAAAGAAAATGGTGGCTTTGATTATGGGTAATGTATTCTGTTTTCTGAGTCACAGGTTAGCATAGTGAGTGTCGTTTATTCACAGTCAGAGCTACTTCAGAAAGAAGTATTTTTGGTAGAATTGATAGACTCCATTTCCAAGTCAAAAGAATCAATGTCACATCTCAAGGCAGTTTATTTCCTTCGGCCTACATCAGAAAATATTCAGCATATGCGGCGTCAGCTATCCAATCCTAGGTTTGGAGAATATCACTTGTGTAAGTTGTTTGTATCTTTTGAGATTTGGTGTGTTTATAATTTAATTTTACTATAAAAATATGAAAAGTTTTTTATTACCCAATCTTAGATGTTTTGGTCGAAGTGCATTTTCATCTCAAATTGGTTTTTGCAGTTTTCTCAAACATGTTGAAAGATACCCAGATTCATCTTTTAGCTGATTCAGATGAACAGGAAGTTGTCCAGCAACTCCAGGTAAGTCTGACTGCTATTTTCTTGAGTGGAAGTTATTTATTGTTTGCCCTTCTTCATCTAGCTCTTTATTTGAGCAATAAACTTGTCAAAAAATCAAGTCTAGAGTTTATCCATTGTTGAGTAAACTACCATATAAGAAATCTGCTGCAAGATGCAGAAAGACAGCCATTCCTGTTGCATCAGTTCGATCTCTGGATGGTAAGATGAGGGCATAGGTTCAACTCTTGAGAGCACATTGCTTAACTGAAAAGTCTTTTAAGTGAGGACTGTTTTAACCACCCCATCCAGGATTCTGCTTTTCTGAGAGCAGCAATGTGTGGCAATGCTAACTCTTGAACATCATGAGGAGGTCACTATAGTATTGTTTGATCTAAGGATTGACAGAGAATATTTTCTCTATGTCAATAGATGATGCATTACTGAAAGGGGTGATTTAAGCATTGTTCTTATGCTGGCTGATATGGCTATATATTTGTAGTCCGCCTCACCTACCTATAATGTGAATATTCCTTAATATTGAAGTGTTGTTCATAGGTTTCTGTTGTGTATAATTAAATTTTAAGAATATTTCTGGAGATGCCCTATACTTCTAGATCAGAAATTAAAAGTTTGGCTTTGACCTCTTATATAGTTCTTGTCTTGGTTTTGCAGGAGTTTTATGCTGATTTCGTTGCTGTTGATCCTTACCACTTTACGTTAAACATGCCTTCAAATCACCATTATGTGCTCCCAGCAGTTGTGGATCCTTCTAGTTTGCAGCACTTCTGTGACCGAGCTGTTGATGGTATTGGTGCGGTTTTCTTGGCATTAAAACGAAGACCAATTATTAGATATTCAAGAACCTCTGATATTGCAAAAAGGATTGCACATGAAACAGCAGTGAGTAAAACTGCATAACATCAACTATTACAAACATTTACATCACTGATTACTTGGAATTTTGCTCATAAAAACTGTTCTAGATTTTGCTTAGTTAATTGTTTGATAAATCTCTTCTATACATATGTGTATGTATATATTTAAAATGATTTTTAAGTTTTGTCATGGATAAGAAAAACTTTAAGCTTGTCTATAAATCTTGGAGTCTTGAAAAAGAATTGATTTTCTTCTTCTTCTTCTTTTTTGTTGTGTTTTTGGGGTATGACAGAAACTAATGTACCAGCAAGAAAGTGGTCTTTTTGACTTCAGACGGATGGAAATGTCTCCATTGTTGCTGATAGTTGACAGAAGGGATGATCCTGTGACTCCATTGCTGAATCAATGGACCTATCAGGTACATGTTGTTCTGACTCTTATCTCACCAGTTCTTAAAGGTAAACTATGCCTCTTGTTATTTTCAAATTGGTAGCAACATCATATTCACTGAATTACATTTTGTAGGCAATGGTTCATGAATTGATAAGTATTCAGGATAACAAAGTGGATTTGAGAAGCATTAGCAATCTTCCCAAAGATCAACAGGTTGATTGCATTTTTCCTTGGCTAGATATAGTTGTTTTAATATATTGCAGTGGCTTATCTTTGTAATCTCATGCTTATAGGAAGTTGTGCTCTCGTCAGAACAAGATGCCTTCTTCAAAGCTAACATGTATGAAAATTTTGGAGATATTGGAATGAATATCAAGCGAATGGTGGATGATTTTCAGCAGGTTGCTAAAAGCAACCAAAATATTCAGACAATAGGTTTGAATTAGACAAAATTGAGTATTTCAGATTCATTAGTGATATTTTTTTTTGTAATATTACTGATAGCTGAGGTAGGTCATTAAATTATTATGCTTTGAGTTTCTGCAGAAGACATGGCCAAATTTGTGGACAATTACCCTGAGTACAGAAAAATGCATGGGAATGTTTCAAAGCATGTAACATTGGTCACCGAAATGAGCAAGATAGTTGAAGAAAGAAAGCTTATGTTGGTTTCAGAAACTGAGCAGGAGTTGGCTTGCAATGGTGGGCAAGTTGCTGCTTTTGAGGTAGTGAACATGTGCTTGTTTTTATCTCTGTTTCTTCTTTTTTAGCTTGATATCTGTTTATGAGTCCTCATATATCGATCAGTGCTGCTTTACAATTTGTTTACTCCATTAAGATGCAGAAGATATTTGTAAATCTCATGATTTTTTTGGTACAATTATCAAGAGCAAAGACTTCCAAAGGATGAATATGAAATGTTTTAAATGGTGTTAGACCAAGGGATTGGATCCTAGGAGTCACTTACTGCAGGAAAAAGGGGGTTTACAGATGAAATGTATTTGTTGTTTAGGGATGTTAAAAGTAAAATACATTTTAACAAGAGTTGAGATTGAATAATTGATAAGAGCTACTGTTAAAATGAATCAATGAATGAGTGGCATAGGATATATTTGTAAGTGAAATTGTTCTCAAGAGTAAATGTTGGTTCAAAATCTATGATTAAATGAGCGTACTTTTGTCTCCTAAAGTGTTCTTGTTTTAAGAAAAGGATGGTTCTAGCACTTTGCAGAAGACTGATTTTGATAAAAATAAACACACTACAAATAGGAATAGAAACCATGTGATTTATTTACAATGCAAACAAACTAGTCAATAAATATTTTTCTGCTCAATTATTGCTCATCAATGAATCTGTTTACTCATCAATTCTACCTTCCATATTATCACTTACAGATCAAAATTGGTCCTCAATATTTATTTTAACCATTGGATTAGGTTGTAGGTTTTTTAGGTTACTGGGTGTGAGATATAGATGATACTCCATTTAAACTATTACATGATTTCAATTACTGGTATTTATGTGGAGATGATCATGGAATGAAAATCTTAATTGTGATTTGGAATGAGACTTGGAAACACATGGTATATTTGACAAGCTCTGATGATTTGCTTTACATACTTCTTTGCAGGCAGTGACAAATCTTTTAAACAATGAAAGCATATCAGATATTGACCGACTACGCCTAGTAATGCTGTATGCTTTGCGCTATGAGAAGGAGAGCCCTGTCCAACTGATGCAGCTATTCAACAAACTGGCATCTAGGTCTGCCAAGTACAAGCCTGGGGTAACATAACCCACATACACATTTTGCTTGGAATTCATGTGTCATCATCATTTTTTTTATTGCCTTTTCACATGCATGTATACATGTCATTTCTAAATATTTTTATTCCTTGATCAAAATTTAATGCTCATCCATTATGGTGGTGCATACAGCCTGATCTCTCTCTCAACATTCTAGTCATATGATTAGAATTTTTTTTCCTTTGCTGGTAAAGCTTGACTTGCTGTTTGAGTTGTAGCTGTTTTATATGCAATTGCAGTTCTGTCATTGATTAGTTCTCTTTGTGAAGCTGAATCAATCAGCAATTTTGTTAAGAGGTATCTCATTCTCATTGAGAATTAACTGGTTTTAATTTGTCTGCAATTGTGGAACAGCTTGTCCAATTTCTCCTAAAGCAAGCAGGGGTTGACAAGCGAACCGGTGATCTTTATGGAAATCGTGATCTTCTGAATATTGCTCGCAACATGGCTCGTGGATTAAAGGTTTGATGCAAAAGGTTTTGCTTTTTTTCATAGAAATTTTTCTTCATTTGCTTATAGATCATTTTCAAACTTTTCTTACTAGGGGGTTGAGAATGTCTACACCCAGCACCAGCCTCTTCTATTCCAAACTATGGAAAGCATAACCAAAGGCCGGTTGCGAGATGTGGACTACCCATATGTTGGAAATCATTTTCAGCAGGGCAGGTTTGTTGCTTTATAATAAAGTTTTCCAATTTTGTTGGGAAAGTTTGCAGTTTATCTCTTTGTTTATAGAATAAATGTGTGTCTACATTCATTTGATATCATCACTTTAGTTCTTTAAAGTGGAGACCCCTTGATGTTTAAATTTGTATATTTAGTTCACTTTGGCCTTTTGTGAAGTTGATGCTGGATGATAAGAGCAATATTTGGCTGGTAAAAATGAAAGTTGGTTGTATGTACTTGATGTACTCACAGATTCTTGGCCTCTCGTGACTTTCTGCAAGTATAATTTAAGAGGAAAAAACCACCCCATTAAATAAGGAAATGCTTCTAATGATATTTTATGAGTAGTAGAACCTCCTTTTTAAGGTTGCAAGATGATGCAAAGCCCCCCAAAGGAAAAGGAAGATGATGCAACAATTTTTTAGATAGCCATTTTGGGCAAACGATGCAGTTGTGATCATTAGCCCAAAATAAATTCTTGCACTGAAAACTCCCAACCTGAACTCAAGTTTGCTTAGGCTCAAGCTTGTTTAACAAATGCATCTAGTTCTAGAATGAACCCAGCAATAGCACCAACTGAGCTGAATGTATGGGCTTGGCTCATTTTTAGCCCTAGAACAAGCATTACTTGTTGCATGAAATGATGTCAGAAATTCATAAGAGCAGCATTTAGCAGGTCACTCATTTTGGGTGAAACTTTGTTAATTCAAAAAAGTTTAGGAAAACTCTTCTTTGTGTTAGTAATGATAAAGACATATACAGGAAAGAAAGATATATAAAGATCTTAAGTAATAATTTTTCAATGATGCATGTTCTATCTTTGTACAGGCCACAGGAGGTAGTTATATTCATTGTTGGTGGAACAACTTATGAGGAGTCCCGTTCTGTTGCTTTGCAAAATGCGAGCAATTCTGGAATTCGTTTTATACTTGGTGGGTCGACAGTTCTGAACTCTAAGAGGTAGGCTGTGGATATTCCCTAATTCTTCTACATACAACATACAAGCCTATCACTATTGATATATATTAACAAGGGTATCCTAATGGTCTGTTGGCTGTGACGCGCTCTGACCCTCATAACAAATCTTGATACTGAATTATTTTTCCACCTGGGTTAATTGTACATCAAGTTAGCTAGAACCACGTTGGAACTATGTAATGTATCTTGAAAATTATTTTTTTCATTTTGTGTTGTCCACAGCTGGACCTTTACTCTCAAGGATGGCTGTGATTTTATTAGATAGACATTAATGACTAGGATATAGTCCTTATTTTCGAATATGATTTATTTAGAAAAAAAAAATGATTTATGGAGCAAGTATCAAGTGGTTGGGTTTTCGATTTTAACGAGTTAAGATTAGGAAGTTTCTCCCTAATTTCATTGTAAGTTGTCAATCTTAAGTGCTAAATCAATTATATAAAAGTGCTTTATAAATAGAGTAGATGTTGGTTTATTGATTGCCAGAACTTTTTGTACCAGATTCATTGCTCTCTGATCATCTTCTTAAAGGATGGTTTTTGGCTTAAAATGTAGGTTTCTGAAGGACTTAGAAGAAGCTCAGAGGATAGCTCGAACCAGCAGCAGTGTCGTATGAGTTCAAATTCTGGCATATACTGGTATAGAACCATGTAAATAAGCTCTTGTGGCTTTATGAAGGATTTCCTGGTTATACTGTGTTGTCTGGAATTGCAACAGCAATACGACAAGGAGAGCGTAGAAATGCAGCTCATTGTGGTAAACATTTTGCAGAGAGTAACAAGTCAAAGGTAAATTGGCTAACCAGCATTGAATTCTTCTGGAGAGAATTTGGTCTTTGTCCATCGCCTACTACGTCTTCTACATAAATTTTTGTACCCTCACCAAGGAATAGAGAAAAATTGTGTACAAAATTTCCCTTTCTCAATTTTTATGGTATACCTCATTGATGTATTCAACCATGTATTTGTATTATCATATAATTGTGGAAAATAGAAGCTATAGTTGTTTTGATCCATATATTTTTTTAACAAAAAGAATTATTGTGCACATATTTATTTATTTATTTCATGCTTTTATTCATTCTCTTTGAGGATTTGAATTCTTCTTTTCTAAAGATCTAGATCACTTTGTCTTTAGAACAAGTCTAACTCTTAGTTTTACATCATTTATTGTCAATATTTTATTTTACTCTTTTAAGTAGTATTTGTTATTGTGTTGAGCGTGAATATTTAAGTAGTATTTATATTCGTGTAAGTTTTTATTTACTTTTAAATGATAATCATGTATAAAGCATAAATATTTTAAAAAGGTAAAATTAATTTTTTATTAAAAAATAACTAATATTTATTACATCATTCTAGGCTGGAAGATGCCAGACTACCTGTAAGTACAATTTTACTAAAACTACTACATGGTGAAGAATCCGAAATGTGAAGTCTCAAAGGTAGACTTTCAAGAGAGAGAAAATAATCCGAAATGTGGCGTGCATGAAAATAATCCCTCATGGTAACCCATCAAAGGTCTCCTCATTCTTTATATTTTCTAACATCCAACTGTGTAAATCAAGAGAGAAAAAATTACTGTTACTGAGCTTGGGAGCAATCTGAAACCTTAGGTTTCTACATGAATCGTAGTCCTTTAATGCATGAAGTAGGGTCTCCATGTGGTTATTACACCTGGGATAGGCGGTTGGAATACTTGCAATTCTCTTAAATAGCCATTCCTTAGTCGGTAAAGATTCATGAAACATTTTCCAAAGGAAAACTCAAACCTTCCTTAAGCTGATAGTTTTCTAGATTTGAGTCTAATGACTCGTTCTTAGGAGATGGCTATTTAATTGTATCTCATATGTTTATTTCACCAAGAACTCTCCATTACCTGATGGCATCAAGAAAACTGTAACTTCTTCAACATTGGCAAGATCGATCATTGTTGTAGCTATTCTCAAAATAAAGTGTTGGGGAAGATCCTACTCCATTTGTTGCAGAGCCCAGCTTCCAAACTTGTTGCAAAAACTAGCTACAAGCAATTGAAGTTCCCTCTCTGATAAGGCTTTAGTTGCATGGTTAAAGAGTGGACCATAGTAAAGCCAATTATCTGTCCAAAACCTAGCTTTCCGACCATTTGCAATAGATATTCCGCAACCTTTTTCAATAACTGGTTTACTCTTTAATTTGCTTTTCCACACGTGAGTCAGTTGATTTAGTTGTTACTGACATGAAATCTTCGTGTCTAAGATATTTTGCATTCAGGATATTCACCCAGATGCAATCTTTCTGATTCCATACACTCCAACCAAGTCTAGCAAGTAAAGCTAAGTTGAATTTTCTAGAGTCACGTACTTGGAAACCACCTTCTTCCTTCTTTGCACAAAGTTTTTCCCAACTTAATGCATGACTTTTCCTTGCACTTCTCATATGTCCCTAAATGAAGTTTCTATTTAGTTGATCAATTTCTTTAATGGTCAATTCTGAAAGAAATGATGTTTGCATTAAATATTATGCCAATGTGCTAGTCACGGCTTGAAGTAATGAGATTTTTTCTGCCATGGATAGATTCTTATTACTCCATCTTTCAAACCTTAACTTGATTTTAGTTACCAACTCAAAATATGTCCCTTTTAATTCTTCCATGCAGCATTGGCATGCTAAGGAATTTCCCAAAGGCACTTGTCAATGGTATCTTAGCAACACCACTTAGCAAATTAGCTCTTGCACTGCTAATGTTTGACAAAACTAGTAGTTTTGATTTTGAGGGACTCACTTTTTGGCCTGAGGCCTTACAAAACTTGTCAAGGATCAATCTCATTACCTTCAATTGTTTTATAAAAGCAACCCCAAACAACTTCAAAGCATGTATGAGATAGTGCAAGTTCCTTGCTTATGAATTGTAATGGCCGCCAGTCCCTTATATTAATTGTACTTTCAACTGATTGTGAAGTGTTTTCAAACACAACACAAATAAATAGAGAGATAGGGGATCACCTTGATGGATACCTCTCGAAGGTGAAAAAATATTTGAGGTCTTACCATTCTAGATGATGGAAAAATTTGGCGTTCTCACAATGTACACTATGAGATTTACCCATGAGAAAGGGAGGTCAATTTCCTCTAGTACCTCTTGTAGAAAATACCATTTCAATGTATCATAGGCCTTTTCAAAATTTATTTTTATTGCCAAAGCTTCTTCTTGTTTTCTCATCATTCATATTGTGTGAATTGCTTCTTGAACAATGATAATATTATCTATTGCTTGTCCCCTCGAAATAAAGCTACATTGAGTTTTCTCGATAATATCACTTAATAGAGGTCTTAAACGGGTCCACCATCACCTTGCTTATAGTTTTCATCAAGATCATGAAAAGGCTGATCGGTCTAAAGTGAGTGATTCGTTTAGGACTCTCCAACTTGGGGATAAGTGTTATCAATATGTGATTTAGTTCAAGTGGGAACGAACCAGAGTTATAAGCAGTTTTAACCATCTTGAAGATACCTGCTCCCAATATGGTCCAATTGTTTTGAAAGAAGGTAAGTGGAAATCTATAAAGCCCTAGGCTTTTATTTGAGTTCATGTTAAAAATAGCATTCGTAACCTCTTCACAGGAGATAGGATTTGAAATTTCAGCTATTTTATTTTGCTTTAGCTCCCATTGCAAGTTTATTGGGAAAGACACATGAATGCCATCATCTTTAAATAGTTCTTGATAATATTGCAAAGCCATTTTCTCCTTTTCAGCTTGGCCATAACTCCATGAATTCTCATCTTTCTTCAAAGTTGAAAACTTATTTCTTCTCTGTCTGCCCTTTACCACAACATGGTAAAACTTGGTGTTGACATCTCCATATTTCACCCTATCAAGTTTTACTTTCTATTGTCACATGGTCTCTTCTTGATATATAATTAAGTTATATTCTTCCACCAATGCAACCTTCAGATTCTGTAAAAAATCATTGTGACCTATATCAAGTTGAGACCGAATACTTTTGAGTCTTGCAAGTACTCAGTCATGAATTTCTCAAAGCTGTAAAAATATTTACCTCTCCTAATTTCCAATTTTTTTTAGAAAATCTTTATAATTCAAGTGAGACATCTAGGAAATTTCAAATTGAAACCTTTTATCAAGCCGAGCTTCTTGTAGGGAATTCTTACATTGCACCTAAATAGGATGATGGTCAAAGCGGGTTCGTGGCAATGCCAGTAGTTGGGCAAACAGAAATAAATCAATCCATGGTTCATTTGCTATTGCTCTATCTAAGTGAACTCTAGTATAATCGAAGCTATCCCTTTTATTGCACAAAGTAAATTTAAGTCCCGATGATCCTAAGTCAAACAAAATATAGTAATTCATACAAGCACTCATCTTATTGCATTGACTATAATTCACATTTTTCTTCCTCTCTCCTCTTCTGGTGAAGTGACTTGATTAAGGTCTCCCAATGCCATCCAAGGCAATGTCGCTTGCTAGACACAATGATTCCCATAACCATTTTCTTTTTCCCACGATAGGATTTCCATATACAGCTATTAATAACCAACTAGATCTTGAAACCTTAACCATCATATGTATTAATTGCGATGAGAACACCATTACCTCTAAATCAATTTTTATTTCCTCCCATAAGATCTAGATACTGCCTAAAAAACCATTACCTTGAAAAAATTTAGCAACCCAATTCTGCAACATATTTTATCAACTTTGGTGCTCCAAATCCTTGACTCCAATATAATGACAACATGTAGCTCATGGATGTTGATTAAATTCTACACATTCCGGACCCACCTCCAAGAGGCAACTCCTCGCATGTTCCAACTCAAGATGTTATAATTCATAAGTAAAGGCTTAAGCTAGTATTCAATACAAAAAAATCCAAAATTAAAAATTGGTATATTAGCAAAGATTATTTTTGCATTATATCCGCCTCTCCCATTTCCAACTCCATGTCCAATGAAATGGTTACCACATTTGACCTATCATGACTTTCATCATCCACTACACTAATAACTCGTTTCCTAACCACCCTATTTATGATAAATCCAAGGCTTTCAATGATAATACCTTTATGAGGTGAAAGAATAGATATAGTGATTGGGTCAATTACTTCTTGGGGTTGGTTTGCTAAGTTAGATACTATAGATGGAATAAGGTTTTTTTGGGGATTTCTCATACATTACTCATGTGAGGGAGTAAAATTTTTCTTAGTTTGTTCTTCTATCATTTTCCACTTGTTTGGCTGATATGATGCTATCTTTAGAACCAGTGGGACCATAGATTTTCCCTTAGCTTTTGAGAGAGTAATCTCTCTATTTGACACATTTGTCACTAATTGTAAGGATTCTTTTAAGGCACTTTTAGTTTTCACAACAGTGGCATTCTGCTCTAGTTGCTAATCACTTGCTTTATAGCATTTTTTTAATGTTTTAGAGATAAACTCCTCCATATCTGTATTATTGCATTCATCTGCCAGTATATAAAATTTTGAACCAAGTTTTGTCACCTCTTTAGAACTCCTTTCTTGTTGTGGCACCTTAGATTTAGATTTGACGCCTCCCTCTAAGTTGCTTTTAGTATTTCTCTTGTAAATTTTCTTCACAACAATTTACAACCCATATCACGAAGATTCATAGTCCTTCTTTAGGTTTTTTTTGTCCTTTAATGAGTCAATGTGCTTGTTCCTCCATATAACTCTCTTGTTCCTTCTATCGGATTGGACAAAATTTAGATTCGTGGCCAAATTTTCCACAATGGAGCATAACATTCTCAAACCTTCATACTATATCCTCTGCCAACGTCCTCCTACATAGATCTTTGCCACAGAGGGTTTTGTGAGATCAAGTTCAACACACAATCTCGCAAACTTTCCCCTTATACCATGGAAGGTGGTTCGATCCATTTTCAAAGTTTTCTCAAGTTTATTGCCAATTTGTGACAATACATCCCTATCATAGAACTCCAAGGGCTATCTTGGTAACTTGATCCAAGTTGCTAGTGAGTCTATGGTGGCTTCATCAGATCTAAAGCTCAATACCCATCTTTGGA